TGGTGTTAGAAGCATAGTTTCACAGTTCAGTGGCGGGCAAAAATACCATCACTACTGGGACATGCTGGCCCACCCACCACCCCAGCTCTCAGAAGCCTCTAAGTTTAGGCCTGGGGTGCAGGCAGTAGTAGTTCTGGAGGAAGGTTGGTGGCAACAGATTCCCTGCAAGCTCTAGCACCTGGGTCTGTACTGAGATAGTGCATCCTTGTCAGGAGGCTGGCAGGCAGCTGTTCTGTGGCTTCTGGTCTAGCACATACCATGGCACCAATCTCAGGAGTGCACCAAGTTAACTGAATAGCTTGCTTGCTCTTTATTCCTTGTTAATTCCTGGTTAAAATGAATTGTGTCATTTGCTTAGTGCAGCCTTACTATATGTGCTAGATAGCTTTAGTGTCAACTTGACATACCTGGGTTGAGGGAGCCTCAATTGGGGAATTTCCTTCATTGGACTGGCCTGTGGCCATGTCTGAGGGGCATCTTCTTGATGAGTGATGTGGGAGGGCCCAGCCCACTGGTGCCACCCCTGGGCAGGTGGGCCTGTGTTGCATAAGAAAGCAGGCTGAGCAGGGGCCAGGGGAGCAAGCCTGTAAGCAGCGTTCCTCCATGGCCTGTGCTCCAGCTCCTGCCTCCAGGTTCCTTCCTGCCCTGAGTTCCTACCTTGGGCTCCCTGATGAACTGTGACCCGGGAGATGTAAGATAAATAAACCCTTTCCTCCCCAAGTTGGTACTGGTCAGAGTGTTTTGTCACAGCAATGAAGAAACAAACTAGGACACTATATGACAAACTGTTAAAAACTAAGGACAGGAAGTGGGGTTTTTTTAATTTATTATTTTTATGTGTATGCATGTATTACCTGCATGTATGTAAGTGCACCCGTGTCGTGCAATGTCTGAAGAGGACTGAAGAGGACAGAAGAGGCCGTCGGATCCCCTGGAACTGGAGTTACAGACAGTTGTTAGCTGCCATGTGGATGCTGGGATTCAAACCTGGGTCTTCTGCAAGAACAACCAGTGTTCTTAACTGCTGAGCCATCTCTCCAGCCCCGGAAAGGAAGTTTAAAACAGACAGGATTACAATCACTCAAGGAATTCACAGTCTGATAAGGAGGAAGGACATGTAAAACTTTTTTTCCCTTTTTGAGATGAATGTGACCCTTGTGTTCTCAGTTTTGGAGTGTGTCTTAGTTTGTTCATTGCTGTGACAAAACACTCTGACCGGTACCAACTTGGGGAGGAAAGGGTTTATTTGTCTTACATCTCCCAGGTCACATGCAGTTCATCAGGGAGCCCAAGGTAGGAACTCAGGGCAGGAACCTAGAAGCAGGAGCTGGAGCACAGGCCATGGAGGAACGCTGCTTACAGGCTTGATCCCCTGGCCTCTGCTCAGCCTGCTTTCTTATACAATACAGGCCCACCTGCCCAGGGGTGGCACCACCCACAGTGAGCTGGGTCCTCCCACATCACTCATCAAGAAGATGCCCTTCAGACATGGCCACAGGCCAGTCCAATAGAGGCAATTCCCTGATTGAGGCTCCCTCAACCCAGGTGTGTCAAGTTGACACTAACACTATCCAGCACAGAGTGTGTATGAGAAATGTGCCCATACATGAAGCCCAAAAGCATGTGTGGATAATCTGCAAGAGTTGCCCTTCCTCTTTTCTTTATCTTCATGTATGAAAGATGAATATAATTTATAATTTATAGATTACTCCATTTCGTGCTAACAGCATGAGAGATTTTTCTCAGCAAGAACCACCATCCTCACTTTTCAGCTGAGAAAACTGACACTAAGAAAGACCTAGAAGCTGCGCATGGTGGCACATGCCTTTAATCCCAGAACTTGGGAGACAGAGGCAGGTGGATCTCTGTGAGATCAAGGCCAGCCTGATCTACATAGCGAGTTCCAGGCCAGCTGGGGCTACAGGGAGACCCTGTCTCAAAAAGGCCAAAATATATATATATTATGGACGTCTAGACTAACAAGGGTCTAGAAACAATAGTAATACACAGCAGCATCAGGATTATAAACCAAGGTCTCCAAGTCTCATCCTACTGTTTCATGCACTGCTAAGCAAGGCCCCTGCAGGAGGAGGGCTGTGTGCTTAACTGACTTTGCCAAAGTTTAACCTTCTCGTGAGCATGCCTGGTTTGGATTCACCTGCCTGTACAGCTAGTTATTCATGGATTCAACCAACTGAAAAGATATGGGGGGCTGGGCATGGGCAATGGCACAAAGCTGGAGTCCCAGCCCTTAGGAGATAGAGGCAGGAAGATCAAAATTCAAGGTCATCTTGGCTACATACCAAGTTCAAGGCTGACTGGTGTACATGAGACCTTGTCTCAAAAACAAACAGGAGAGGGGGGATATGGGGGTAATCTGCATTTGCACTGAACACTTCCAGGCTTGCTTCCCGTTATTATTCTTTGAACGATGCAGTAGCAACTACTTACGTAGGATTTACATTGTATTAGGCATCATAAGCACTGTAAAAGTGGTTTAAAGCATGCAGGAGGATGTGTATAAATTTCGGGCAATATTACTCGTTTTCATACATGGGACTTGAGTATGTGTGGACTTTGGTATCCTCGGGATTCCTAGAGCCAACAATCTGTGAATACCAAGGGATGGCTGCACTAGAACTGCTCTTTCCGCTGTTTTCTTTCCTACCTGTTTCTCTCCCTGCCTTTGTGTCACACTTCTCTCTGTGATAGTCAAATCTGTCTGCTTTCCTAGCATCAAAATCACCTGGGCACTTGTTAGAAATGTTGATTCTGAACATCTACTCCAATAAGTTCTCTGGGAATCTGTGGCATTCTAAAATCTCGAGAACCATCCTGAGCTAATATTAAAAAATTATACTCCTCCATAGTCCCAAGGATGCCTTGCCACCATCACCTGGCTCCATGCACAAAAATCCTGGGACCAAGGAAGAAAGCCAGTCTAGCACCCTGCAGCAGTCACAAAATGCAGCTGTAGCTACCAAGGTTCTTAAGGGTCAGTTTGGATAGAATCCTGCTGCAAGGATAACAGAACTCCCATTTCTAGGCCATAATGTGTTATCTGTTCATTGGGGCAATGGTCTTTAACGCAACTTCCTTCCACCTCATCAGATGCAGCGGATCTTAGCTTTTGGACCAGGAGCCCTCACAGTGGGACTAGGTTTGTTGATATATGTTCTTCTTCCTTAACTATGAAACATAATGAAAGACTCTAAACTCTGTTCACAGAGGTAGCTAAGGTTTACTCCATGTAGGATAAATGCTAATGACAAAATCTGAGTTTCACAATGGTACAACTTTCTACAATTTACAGAACTTCCATAACTCTTTAAAATTTTTTATTATGTGAGAGAAAGAGAGAGAGAGAGAGAGAGAGAGAGAGAGAGAAAGAAAGAGAAAGAGAACAACATGTGGAAGTCAGTTCTCTCCTTCCACCACGTGGGTCCTAGGGATCAAACGCAGGCCCTTAGTATTAAAGGAAAATGCCTTTAAGCGACCCACTGAGTCAGTCATCTTGCAGCCCAGAACTGCCATTACTCTTAGAGAAGATATGCAAAGCTAACCTTGAAACCAAGACTAGAAGCCAGGGTTCCTGATTCATTCCATAAGGGTGCACCTAGTACAACAAGGCAGATATTAAGTAAATTCTTGTTTGTTCTCTAATGGTGCTATTCTAAAACAGTTGGTCATCCTGCAAGAGCACAGGCTCCATGTCACTAGGGCATGTTGCTACATGGGAAGAATTTCTATTCACAAGTCTGTTCCACTAGAAATAATGCAGACACAGGCTCTGAAACAAAGGATAACTTCCAGGATCCAAGGCATCAAGTTTTGAGAAAAGGGTGGGGACAAGCTTTGCAGCCTTACTTTTCTTTGTGGAAATCTAATACTCTCTTGATTGGCTCAAAGGTCTCTCATTTTCTCTTACAAACAGCGAAAGATGGTTCTTCTCTAATTGGTTTGGCTTGATACCTCTTGTGGTAATGTTTAGAAAGAACAAAAAAGGCCTGTCAAGGTAAGCTGAGGTCCTGCACAATCACTCTCTGCCAATCAACACGGTATTTATGACCAGTTCTAAAATGCAGAAATTCCATTTGAAAATGAGAAGCTGTCAGAGGTCAGAAACACATACATCCAAACACTCTCACTCTCACTCTCTCTCTCTCTCTCTCTCTCTCTCTCTCTCTCTCTCTCTCTCTCTCTCTCTCTCTCTCTCTTTCTCTCTCTCTCTCCTCTCACACAATCCATATGCTCCAAAGAGGCAGAAATGGGCACAAGAAGGATCTGATTGTCCTCTGTTCTGCCTCCTTTATTTTTCTGCCTCCTTTATTTTTCATTTCTTAGAAACTCTTTCTGCTGGAACATCCCTTCCCCCGGATGATGGAAGCAGAAGGAATAAGATTCACAAAGGATCTAATTTGGGGCATTAATAATTACACCAGCTGAAGAGCTCAAGAAAGCAAAGAAAGGCACTGTTAACAAAACATCAGGGCACTTCCCAGAAAGCAGCCCATCCATGATTACCTTTGGTGATGAGAAAATCAGAGCCAAATCAAATCCCAACTATGTAGATGATTTACAAATTTTTTCTCCTTCACTACTGTAATTCCTTTATTTTTTTTTTAAAGGAGCAAAAGACTGCATTAGTGTGACAAAGGAAGAAAACAAAAGAGAGCAAGAGACTCATTCTGAATTCATAGTCTATTTTATATTCGTAACTCTACACCAGCAAGAATGGCTCAAATAAGGCACAAGGTGGGGTCCTCGGCGAGTATACTCAGAGTCAAACAATTATCCACGCTACACTTTCCATGCAGTAAACACCCCTAACCCGCACCACCTCTGCACCTCCCACCCCCATGGCCAGGATGAACCCCACCAAATGCAAAGAACCCTCTTTTGTGTGCATTAACAGCCAGAGTCTAAGCAGTCATTACACAGCAAAAACCTAACAAGAACAAAAACCAGCAGCAGATGGGCAGAGAAAACCCAGAACATACCTGAATTCTTCAAATGCAAACATGACCTAGTCAGAGGCAATTTCCTTGGATTGTACAGCAGCCTTTTTGGTACTGAGGACAACCATTTAGTCAGTCAGATGGTGCAAAGCGCAAGGGGAAAAAAAAAAAAAAAAAAGGCAAGGTTTCCACACTCCCCAGTATTCTGAAGTAAAAGGCTTTCTGCAGACAGGGGCCTGCAGCCTCCAGCTCCGCCAGCTGCTGACAAGCGGTAGCTAACAGGGGAGGCAGCTAGAAAACCATGTGATCATTCCAGCAAGTCTGATTAATGCAGTGTATGCTTAGGCTCCAGGCTGGGAGCTGGATTAGTCTAGAGAAATAAGTCGAACCCAGGGTGTGCCTGGGATCCTGGGTAAATCACATAGCACATCTACCCTCCACTAGAGTTGTACAGGGTGGGGCAGGAGGGAAAAGGCTTCTGTTCAATTGTGATCTGCCTACTCAACTCATCTTCCTGGGCTGCTGCTGCTGTTAAAGTGATCAGATATGACCCATGCTGTAAGTGAGCACCATGTATGGAGATAGCATGGCTATACGTCACAGCCAGCCAGAACACTATAAAATCCTTCCAGATCCAGTATGTTGCCAGGACACACCAAACTACTTCAGCACAGATATATTCACAGGCTGTTTCAGTGCCACAGGTCAGAGTTCACAGTCACCACTTTCCAGAGGCACCATGACCCTGGAGGTCCACTGTGATTAGCAGCCTCATTTGATTATTCCTTTACTAGGTGCATAATATGTACCCAGCTCTCATTAGTTCCTTGAAGTGCAGAAATTGCTGTAATAATCTCAGAACAGAAGAAAAAGGAAATGAGATGTCAGCCAAAAAGAAAGAGAAATGTTTATCCATTTGTAAAGCTCAAGCTGGCAAGACTTGGCAAGTGAACTGGGGCTGTCTCCTGAAACCCACCACAAAGGAGAATCCTTAGCACTTGGATTGCAAGTTTTTATAAAATAGGGAAGGAAAAATCTCAAATAGAAGCTTGGAAGTCACACTTGGTGTGATTCTGTTTGGAAGGGGTCTCATGGCTGCCGCCCCTTCTTCCTTGCCCGTTCCTGCCTTAGCGCTTGCCTTCAGCATTTTTTCTAATCTCTTGCATTAGTAACTGGACTTTGTTAGCCCATTCTGCTCTAAAAAATCTGCCAGAGCAATTTTTCCAAATCCGACTTTGATGGCACCTCATTTAACCCTGTATTAGTTCCTCAGTGCCCACAAGACTAAGTAAAAACATATCAGCCTAGCTTATGACGTCTGGTTTCTCCCACTCTTCCTTTAACTAAAACTTTTTACAAATTCAGCCTGACAGTCATGGTTTCCCACATATGGCAGGGCCACCTTTCTTGGGTCAAGGCAGGGGGGGCAGGTTATTCAGTGTTCCTTACCTACAGCCTGCTGCCACGTGGCCACCTTGGCTGCTGGTTCTCCTGGACTATCTCAGGACAGGTAGTAGCTCTTCCCTCTACTGTGGACCATGGGGCATTACAGCACCCAGCATTCCTCTCCTATATATCTGGGGCAGAAGTCCTCTCACAGCAGGGATGGTGACATGAAATTAAGTTCTGTATTTCCAGTGCCTCGTACAGACTTGACAAAAAGGAATTATTCAAAAGGGGCTTGTTGAAAGAACCTCTTTTTGCCTCAGTTTTATGTCTGTCCAGGAGAAAAGTGAGCCGGTACCCATGGTCATGAGGGGTTCTGGGTGAGGAAGATGTTTTCATGTGGCTTTCTCTGTGTCCCGGAGTCAACTCAGGGGAACTGCAGTGTCAACAGCCCAATGAGTCAGACTGATCAGTGAAGGAGATCATGGGATCCCTTGAACCATATAGACACCAACCAAGCTGATATGGAACACCTCCTCCAATATTCCTCAAAAGCCTCTGCATGGGACCTTCTGGTGTTGGTAACTTCTTGATAGAATCATGTTACAGCAGGAAACATAGGATATTCAAGGTCAATAAATAATCTAGCTTTAAATCTGAGAACTGCTATTTATGAATTCTGTGACTGCAGGCACGCGAATGATTCCCCATAGGTAAAACCGTAGTAACATGGATACTGCCTGTGTGTCTCACAAGAGCCAACAAGGCAGGTCCATCTAAGTTGTATAGAGCATGCAAAATTAAATAAGTGTTCTCCCCCACCTTTATTAATCACAATATGATCTTTCACTAGACAGCTCTGATTACTGGAGGGCTCTTTTTATGAGAAGGCCACTTTGTTTTGGAAGTGATCTGTCTGTTCACTGGTACTCAATTAATATCAAGGGTAAGGAATTTCTGTCCCATGATTCCCAGGTCAAAAGACATACATTTATTTGTTCCTTGGTACCTGTGGGAGATGGGGTCTCTGCACAAAACACTTATATAAAATGGTACCAAGAGTACATGTATACATCCATACACCTCCCAAACAATTTAACACATCTTTGGATAACTTAGAACACCCAACACTACATAATAACAACACAAAAGCTATATAAATATTTGTTACATTGCTATAATTAGGAAATAATAATAAACAAAAGAAGTCTGTACCTGTGGTGGAAGAGGATAGAGGACGAAGTACTTAGAGGACGGAGTACTTCTAGACCTGTGACCGTTCTCTACTTGTAACTCACAACTCTCTCCTTGAGGGGCTGGTTATACCTTTCAGGGCTATTCCTAAGGTCCTGGCAGGGTTTCACAATTTTTTTTTAAGTTTTATTTATTATTTTTATTTTATGTGTGTGCGTGTATTGCCTGTGTGTAGGTAAGTGCACTCATGTCATGCAATGCCTGCAGAGGTCAGAAGAGGTTGTCAGATCCCCTGGGACCAGAGTTATGGACAGTTGTTAGCTGCCATTTGAGTGCTGGGATTCGAACCTGGGTCTTCTGCAAGACCAGTCAGTGTTCTTAACCACTGAGCCATCTCTCCAGCCCCTGAGTTTCACAAATACTAAAAAGCCAAATCCCAAGTATATTTAGACACCATTTTACAGAATCTTCTAATTAACTATAAGGAAACAAAGGTCCATGTGGTTAAGTAACTTGTCCAACATCATACAGCCATATCATGGCGGAGCAATGGCTCAGACACTGTGGTCTAATTCCAACATGCTCTACTGGTATCTTAATGCCAATAACCATGTAGATCAAGCTGTCTCCAGAAAAAGATTTGAGACTGTAAGGCAGTCAGTCAGTGGCCCAAACTATGGTTTGGATGTGAAACGTCCCCTATTGCCTCGAATTTGAATGTGTGGTCCCCAACTGGGGACAATGTCCTGGGAAGATGCCAAACCTTTGGAAGGTGGGACTTGGCTGGAGGAGGTGGGGTGACAGAGGTGGACCTTGAGGTATATATACAGCCTGGCTCTGCTGCCTGTTCTGCCTGTTCCACTAAGATGGTAGGAGGATATCCCCCAGGATGTAAGGAGCCTGTGCCACATGTTCCTACTGCCCTGGAGCTGCCTGCTGCCATGACAGGCTATAACCTTCAAATCATGATCCAAAATAGATTCTTGCTTCTTATCAGGTCTTTATTTGATCACAGCAATGAGAAAAGTAACTAATGTAAAAAGACTAGGACACTACGACCTGTTTGTGCTATTCTATGTAGCTGGCCTGACTGCATGATTCCCAGATTTTATGACTAGGCAAGAGACTCCTATAGGCTTAAAACTGCTGCACATATGCCCAAGAAGAAACAGGATAGAAATCTGGGCTGGTATGGCCTTGGGACCAATGTGAAGAAGAGTCTGTCTCTCTCATAAGTGATTGCTAATAACACCAGTGTGTCAAGAATAGGAAACAAAGTGGAGATTCAAGAACTCTACCAGCAGCACTAGTCTTCTCTTGGGTAGAGCCAAAAAGTACTTCTGTGATGATAAAATGTTAAGTAATTTAAAAAAACAACAAAAAAACAAACAAAAAAAAAAAACTTAGGTTGGGTGCGGTGGCACATGCCTTTAATCCCAGCACTCGGGAGGCAGAGGCAGGCAGATCTCTGTGAGTTCAAGGCCAGCCTGGTCTACATAGTGAGTTCCAGGACAGCTGGAGCTACAGGGAGACCCTGTCTCAAAAAAACCAAAAACAAAAAAACAAACAAAAAACAAGTCATTCCAAATCATTTATCAAAGACTCAAGGCCCAGACAACACATATTCCAATGTGTTTTTGTTTTTTTTTTTCCAATGTGTTTTTTCCCCACAGACAGGGTCTCCCTGTAGCCCCAGCTGGCTTGCCTCTGTCTCCCGGGTGCTGGAATTAAAGAAGTGCACACCACACTTGGCTCATATTCCTACTTTGGAACTCTGTTTCCCTTTGTAGCATGAAGGAATCACCACACATTAAAATTTTAGCTATTTTTAAAATTATTATTTCCATTACAACCCTAAAACAAAACAAAAACTACACATAAAAGTAAAAAGATTCTGACAGAGCCTTAGGGCCCCTGCTGCTAGGCTCCACACCCTCCTCCCACTCCCAACACACGCGCGCGCACACACACACACACACACACACACACACACACAGAGGACAGGTTCAGACTCAGCTTTAAAGCTTGTGCTGGTCTCCAGTGGGGTCTCCATACTATAAATCATCATGTCCACCCTGGTTAATCTGGATTCCTTTTCTTCCAGTGCCATTCCTAAGACAATACTGCTGCCTGTACTCTTCTCTGCTTAGTGCACACATAGCTGCCTGAGCCTTCTCTGGAAGAAGAAATTTGAAAAGCTACATACAAACATAAGCATTAACATAAATGTCCCTGTGTCCCTGATGATTTGCAAACACTAAATGAGAACATGTTAAGCAAGTGACCTTAAGTGTGACACAGACACCTTAGTTTCACAAGCAACACGTTTTCTTACACAAAATGCCAATTTTCCAAGAAAGCAAACTTCTGATTTATGGTACTCAATCTTCATAGAGTTCCTCTGGAGTCCACAGACTAAGAGAAGCCTTTCAACCCTGATGGTCTATCAGTTTTACTTGGCAACTGTTTTCTCTTCCAGATTTAGGTTGTAGGCACACAACCATGATGTACATGAAACAAAACAAGAACTGAGCATAAGAACAGAGTCTGATGTGTCAATCAAGTAAAACAAGAAAGCTGTCCTGACAGTTACAGATATGCTCATTCACTACTGCACTGTGCAGAGATGAAACAGGAGACATCAATGAAAATTGGTTAGTCATTGCTCATGGTCCACTCAAGGGTGTTTCCAATGAGTAGGGGACTGGGTGGTAGAAGCACTTGGTAGTGTCCCCAGAGGCCCTCTTTCTAGTCTCACTTCTGCCACTCTAATGAAAACCCT